TGGACCACTGTAATGTATATTGTTAAATTTGAATTGATCAGTAAATTATTAAAAAGATTTATTTAGTTTAATATGTAACAGAATTATTTAAGTTTTTAGTAATATGAAGACAATATAATTAAGTTATCCTACCTAACACTTAAAATACTAAGACTATATAGTACTGAGACTTGGACTATTATTATTACCTAGGTACAATAGTAACGTCTTCAATATTGATACATAGTTAGTACTAAGTTATATGATACATATTTCGTATTAGTATTATGTATGAAAATTATTCGAATAATATTATGATTGCAAATCATTCGAATAATTGTAAAAAAATCATTCCAATAATAATCTAGATACAATTTTGCACTACTCTAGATGCAGATACATAATATAATTATAAATATAAGTTAAACAAATTATTATTAGTCCAGTGTATTATAATTAAAACTTAATGCATTGCATAAATTAAAACGCTGAGTAAATATAAATATAAATGTATTTTATAAAGTATATTTTTATTTTGTATGCTTGGAACGAGAAAAATACCTATCACATATTATATTATAACAGTTTTATTAATAAATGTACACAAATATTCAACTATAATAATTGTAAGCAGTATCATAGTATAATGTAAACAATGCATTTATTTTTGCAAAGAATAATAAATTTATATTTCATCCACTATTATTTTAATTATTATCATTCGAAACCGTAAAGCGTATAACGCGTTCATTAAAATTTTTTTATGCATAAGTTAAAACGGCTTACACACTTTTGTTGTCAAATTATATCATTATAATATTTGATTAAACTTGACTTTTTGAGCTACACATTTTGTGAAAACATAAAAATTTAACGGAACGCCAATACATAGTGTACAATACAATCACTGTGATTAATAGCTTTAAAAACTATTTAATAGTTACGTCACTTACTTTTACATCAATTCAATACCAGAAGAAAATATATGAATAATATTTGCATAAAAAAATTTTTCTGGGAATAATGAAGGGGCTATATTGCCATTCTTTATTTGTCAATATAATATTATTGCGATAGTGTTCAATTGTAAGCGTTTGAATTGGTGTTAAATGTTTAATGTGTGAATGCAAGTTATAATAATAATAAAATAGCTATAATGGAAATATCGGAAAACTATATTATATTTAGTTTATATTTTAACGTTAATAAAAATTGGTAATTGTATTGATTGGAGTTATATATTTTTAAAATGGTATATACATATTGTTACTCCGTCATTCGTTCGTCGGATAAATTGTAAATATGAATATCCTGTAGTAGTGTCTATGAATATCCCTATAAGCTATCGAGTAAAATGTCTATAAAGTATAACTAGTAATAAACGTTTAAATCTTGAATTAATAGATTAAAGCTCTTATAGATTGAATCAAAAAATAATGTTGTATTTTAGTTATAACTGATTGTTTTTAAGTAAATCCAATATTTAGTAACCAAATTTTCTACAATTGGCGATACTTCATTATCATATAATATAACCTTTTTGTAAACGAAGAAACAAAAAAACTTTGTACAGGTACCCATATAAAAATAAACAATAAATAATTTCGAAGATATTATGATATTGTTGTAGGTACAATATTGGGTTCTTACAGAAAGCAGTGCAAGGTGTCATGAATAATAATTTGAATATTTGCTAAGAGCCAGTTGCTTATTTTGATTTATTGTGCCTAAATTTAATTATTGTTTCAAAAAATGGTTAGGTTACACGATAAAAAAAAAATAATTTGAGGACTGACCTACATAATATTTTAGGAATGGTAAAATGGTGGTTTGTTAACTGGAAATTGTACATACCTACTGCAACCGACACGTACATATATTATTATGAAACGCATATTACGGATAGAGTGGACTCCGGGGAATAATATTATACACTTCTCGTTACGTAAACATGTGGATACTTTAACATGTTAGGAAGAGGATTACGACCCAAGTTAAATAATGAAATAACTCAAATACCTACCCATGTTGTTGTGTATTTATGAAGGTTATTGGTGTGTGGGCACGTTAGATGGAGGTTATTGCAGGTTTGAGAGATGGCGTATGATAATATCATATCGGTGTATTCGTTATGACGTGTACCACACTAGAAAGTTGTAGTAGTGTTACGAGTTCAGGTTAGTCTACGCGTTTTTCATAAGCTATTAGGTAGACGAGTCGGGGCAGTGTAAGTATAGTGCAATTTTTAAAGTGTAAATAAAATGACATTTCTATATTCGACCTCCGTGTGGGTTATTAACTTTCGGTTAGCGATAACAGTAATATGTGACCTAATAATGTATTATTAAGGTGAAATGCGAGTGGTACGAATTTCGTCTTGTTGGGTATCGGTGCACTATAGTTAAACGACGAATACACACTTTTGACCCGACCACCAGTCACCTTCTCGACTTGCAATATATATATATATATATATATATATATATATATATATATATATATATATATTATGTTTAACGATGATATGTCGTGTTTCATTTGATTCGAGTATGTCAAATAATACAACGTCAAGTTGACATCAGTGGTGATTATGTATAGATGATATTATATTAATATTATACTGTGTATGCTTACCTTCGAAAAAAACAATTACATTTTATAATATGAATTGAAATTAAAACCAACAAAAATAGTGTGTTTATCAGGTTTAGAATATACATCGAATGAAAATTACAAATTGAATAAATTTTTAAGTTTTAATTGGCATAACATTATTATTGAGTGTAAATGCGTTATACCTGTCATAACAAAATTTGCTTAATAAGGGACGAAGTAAATGTACATTTTTTAAAATAGAGTTTCGGAACTAAGGAAATATTTTTTTTTATTGTATAAAACATGTATTAAGAAATCCAATATACTTTTACAACGTCATGGAGTAATTTTATGTACTTAAGATTTATGAAAACTAAATAGTTCAATAGACGGTTTTAGAAATATATACATTTATTAGAAAACTTTCATAATATTACAAAACTAAATAAAGAATAATAATAAAAAAAAAAAATAGTCAAAAGTAAAATATATTTGTTAGTCATCATCGCCAAGTGAACGAAAATTGCGTACCTAATAAATGGTAGGTTAGGCAATCATACATGGACAACATTTAATGCGCTTCAAAATCGTCGAGACTGTTTGCAGTGTGTATACATAATAATATTATAGTATAATAATATAGTCATATATAATAACGCGAACAAATTAAAACGAAAACCACATTAACCTAATTACGTTTATGGTCTGGGAAAATAAAATTATTTTAAACCACTCGACCCAACAACTCTACCTACTGCTACGCGATATGGATTTTTGAGTTTCCGCGAGTGCTTGACAAATAACAATATCTCTGGATGCAAAGTAGTGACGGAAAAAAAAAGAATTACCATGCGACTCTGAAGTGAAAAAACGACCGAGTGTGAATAAAATGAGAAGATAGAAAATGACACCCTCTGATTGTGGAATACTGTATCGAGTTCTTTCGATTTTATCAAGTATTGGGGAGGTTTAATGTCAACCCGTGGCATAGGGTGTGACGCAGAAGCACTGATGAGGCAAAAAGCGTATTGTTTGAGTGTTGCATTTCGTTTCTCGTTTTATGCAATTCACATTTTATATTATTACCTACAGCAAATACGCATCATACACATGAATAAGATATTGTATTTTAACAAACTGAAAAATATGATTTTCATAAAACTGTCATATTTTCTAAATAATAGTATAAAACATATTTCTCTCTGCTCAGCTTATATTTCAATTAATTAAAACCATGCATAGGTAGGTAAAATAATAAGTATGATACAGTCTTAGACAGTATTAATCCCTAAATTGCCTTGGTTAATATTTTGTCTAGTACCTTATAATAAATATATACTCATAATTGGCAGTTTTAAGTATTATTGTATTAAACTATGTAAAATATTTAGAAATAAAACTTTTCAGATTAGATTTTAAAGAAAAAACTTAATGCAAAATTATTGTATGAAACAAAATGTATAAATATAATATGAAAATAATATTTCTTTATATAAATCACAATATATTTGTACCAAGGAATTTACATACTAGACGGTAACTGTCTAAAGTTGATATCCCATATATATTGCAAACGCAATTTCGTAGACAGCATTTACATTATTTTATGCGTTTGTGTCACTAACAAGGTTTACGCTAATGTTATATTGATCATAGGTATTTTACTATTGACATAAACTAAATAGATTATAATATTTATTTCATTTTAAGTAAATAGTTTAGTAATTTTTAACTGTGTGGTATTATATGTCAATTTTATATTCAATTTTATTGGTTTTTAATGAATAATAAATTGTAAGTATTATTTGTATTTATAAATTTAATAACTACAGTGCGATGCTGGTTTATGGATTATTTGATTTCGTGAGATATAATAATTTATGGTGTTCTATAGAGTATTAAAATATTTATCTAAAATGTCAATTTTATTGACACACAGCTATGTTTTTATGTCTTTCGGTTATTATAAAGTATGAATAAATTGTGAAAAATATCATACGTCTTAATACTATTGTATATAAAAATAACACGGCACTGTGTGTATGCAATTTAACAGCAGAAGTGTATAGAAATGATTTTCGTGGAATTAATCCAAGACATATTTTGTTGAACATATTATATAATATTTAATAATTATAGTGCACACAAACATGACACAAGCTTAATATTCTTCCTTAAAGTGCTAGTCAAACGTACAGATAATATTATAAATAATGAAAACAACCATTACATATGTAGGCTACTATTATAATATTATTATGTTATTCTGCATGTTTCTTAAATTTAGTCGCTTTTTGTTGAAATTCAAATAACGTTGTGATACAAACAGACAATATTATTATATTGTATTGATTAATCATAATTATTGTGCACTGAAAAATTACTAAAAAAAAATTGCTAGCAGTATTTTTTTTAATACAAATGGTTTTAAATCACGAATTCTATGAAAAATAGTGTTACGTAATATTGATTATATAACGAAAATAGTAATTGATTTTTTCGTCGGCTCGAGCGAACCGTGATGAGTGTCTGCAGCTTTAATACGTTCGGTCTGTAATATTATTCTTGTGTGGCATTTTCGAAAGAGTCTTGCTTAAATAAATTAACTCGATTATTAATTCGAATTATAATGCAACAATACCTGAAAAATATTTAAACACTTTAAATACATTTCAATATTATGATAATTATTTATTTCAGTATCACGCACTATAATATAATATTACCTAGGTCCGCTCAAAGAGGATACAACTATATAATTTGTCTTAGTTGCTTATTTATCTAAAAGTCTTTCGTCGAGATTTATGTGCTTGTCGGTATACTAGTATATATTTTATCGTGTAGATTCGAATTATGGACTTATATAAACACTTCCGGAAAAGCAATAATTGGGAGTGTAATCGTTACAATATCAACTTTATCATAGACTTCATATAAACACATATTATACTATACTATTCACTACCATTATACAAGATATTATGGACAATATCCACATGCGTCTTATTTTTAATTTATATAGAATATAATATTAAATTTATTCGACTGCAGTTTACGCTTTTACTGTTTTTATTTTTATATTATTCGCTGAATCGGGTTTTCAAATCCTCAAGAACATCTAAAATGAAAGTAGAAGTGTGGGGAATTCATTTTAAATTTAATCGCGATATTTCAATTTTTGGATTTCAATAGAGTCGGTACCTATATTTTGTCGAGAACTCTGAGAGGTATTTTTAAAAACTTAAGTCGCTCTTTGTGAGATTACAAAAAAATTCATATCCGATAAAAGAACGCAACAGTAACGATATTTAAAGGGTTCACGAATCTATTTAATTTTTAAAAACTTAAAAAGAAATAATTAAATGTTTGAGTATATTTTTAAAGAGATTTAGAAGTGTTTTTGTTTTGTACTGGCAATGTGTGGCACTCTTGATATAGTTATTTTGTTTGTATACATTTTTTTTTTTTAATGCCTTCGAATGTTAGCAAATAATTGAATTTTGTAATGCCATCAGTCGTAAGTCAACAACTTTTATACAAATAAATCATAACTAATAATCATAATGTATGGAACATAAATTTAAATTACACAAAAAGTTAAAATTTCATTATTAATTTGAAATACACAATAAACAATAAACACAATAAACACACAATCATTATATTTTAGACATACATTTTGAATTTCATAAATATTACACCTTTTTTTATTAGGTATGATTTTTAGAAAGAAATAGGTATATTTAATATTCATGAATATAGTTATGTATTGTAAATATTTTCAAAAATTATTTTTAGATATTACAGTTTTGAGTTAAGAAAACCAAACGGAGAGAAAAATATTTCACAGGCGATTAACTGACTATAGAGCATACATAAATAAATAAGTACAAATATTTTCCTTTTAAATCAATATGAATATTTAGTACACAAACACTTTTTGAAAAATATTCTTTTTAGAATAACATTTTTTAAATAAAAATAATCATTTATTATTTGAAATGGTAATCTATTTATTCAAGTTCTAAACAATATGCAATACAATCAAACAAGAAGAAGTAATGTTGTATCAACAATATTATAAATGAAATGCGTTACACCGTACATTGAGTAAATAATTTAATTTAATTTTAATGAACATGTCGAAATAATAGTATTTTAATTTATTTATCATAATTTATTTGAATAAAATTATTTAAATTATTATTTGTCTCATTCATTGAATGAATATTATTTATTTAATTAAGAACAATGGTTTTTAGTTGTATAATTTTATATTAGAAAATAAGTTCCCGTAAATACATATACCATACGTCTTGTGAATGTATAATTACTTTTAGTTTTATTTATTGTAATTCGTATCTGTTTAAATACATCAATGGCAGTCTGAATATAAAACAAAAAAAATGAATATCTCGTTAACTTGACAACTATTCTCCTATATGTGGCTTGGCGTGACGCGATTGCTGGTTGCGATTAAAAGTACGCACCGTCTGCTGACACCAGTTCCCGTATGGGTGACCATCCAAGTTTTTAGTGGTAAAAACCTTGCCACAAATACAAGCCAAACCAACCTACCAACCACATAGAAACCGTAAAATCTACAATACCTAATGTCCATAATTGCCGGGCTCAAGACTTAAGACCAATAAAACAAATAAATAAGTAAATAAAAAAAAAACTCTCTTATCTCATCCTGTCTTTAAATATGTATAAAACAACAGTTACCATTCGAAAGATATTAAAAACCCAAACGTTCGACAGGCTTTCAAATATTGAAGAAAATAATTTTGTAAAATTCCACAGGAAACAAATTAATATCTAGTTGCTGTGTGTGAGTGTTTGTAATTTGAATAAAAATTGTATGTAAAGTTATATAAAAGGCAAATTAAACATAATATTTTAAAATTTCATATACTTAAGAGTTAAGTGTAACTAAACATAATATACTAAATAATTATACTCAATCAGTTCATATAAACTGCAATAACGTAAAAACGGTTTCTGTGTGATTAATGAATCGACACTCAATATTTGACAACTTATTTTTTTAACCTTTTACAGACTATAAATTAAATTAGTATGCAGGGTGATTCATCAAGAATAACCACACCCTAATATTTAGTATTTACTATACTTCAGCAATTTTTAATAAATTATTTATATTGACCGATTAATGTTAGTTACTACAATTTCAATAAAATCGAAAAAAAATGCAATTTAAAGAACAACAAATTGTGTAAATTATTGAAACCGACTAGGAATGCTCGTGAATTTTCAAAAAAATTTATATTTATTAAATATAATATTTTGAATATTATTACAATATAAAAATTAAAAAAAAAAATTAAAAGTCACGATGAACAAGAATAATTGTATAATATTATATAATTACGATGGATAATTGACAAATTAAAATAATATGAAATTCAACATAAAAGCAATAATTCCAATAAGCTATACCTAATATAATAATACCATACAGGTACGTATTATTATAGCCGTGCTTCCATTGAAACTGCAGACGGTCACTATTGTTCCAAATCGTTTTACCGGAATCGAATCTCTCCGATTGCACCAATGCGGTTGTCCTACACATTATTACACGAAAAAAAATGTTTAATTCGATAACAGCCTAAAAGTAGACGTAGTCTGTATGCCATTGTCACTGTACTGCACAGTATAATAATATATTATGATACAATAAAGCATCCCAGAAAGGATACCTCTAAACAATGGACATCATTTCAGTGGACGAGAATGTCCGGTGCTTACTTTTCGGAGGTTTCACTGTGTTTAAAATAACTATAGTATTATCAGCTGCAGTGCTACAATATCTCTGTATTTTTCATAACAATATCTTATTCGGGTGGCGACCGGAAGTATATTCGGGATGGTGGATTTGTAAATAGCTGAATTTTAATGATCGAAATGATGCCTTTAAATCCACAAAGATACACAAAGTATGTCATCATAATATTTTTAAAATGACGTGTATTTACTGAATTTATTACTCGTCACACAAAATCACGTACCCCATGTATAGTATGTCTGAAATGTATACGACGTTTCATTGTTCACGAAAAAGCAGTTGAGCGTCCGATATCGCCCACTCACGTGATTTTTTTGAAACCGGAAGGAAGTGTTCGGAGAGCCCATCGGACTAGACAGTAGGCGACCGCTGGCGCCTCTGAGTCCGGGCGAGGGTATCTTGATATCCATCATGTCTCACTCTCTCTCTCTCTTGCATCTTTTGCAAGCCGTCGAGATAGATGTGTGATCCACGATAGTAATTTTCATTATATTAAAAGCCTAATTACTACGATAATTGTAGTGAAGTACTAGTTGAATGTGTAACCGTTTTATAAAACAATGTATATAATATACATAATATTTTTTAATATATATCATTATATTCATTATAGATGATAATGTACCTCAAAATTCCCATACGAAGATGGATGTAGATTAGAATTACCCCAGGGTCGAGGTAATTGACATGATTATTACTTACTATAGTTAGACTTTTTGTGTGTGATAGAAAGAGAGAGAAGGAGAGTCAGTGAGGAAGTCCAGTTCGAAAGTGGGTGTTGATGATACCCGACCCGGGTGTACGCGTGCCGTTGACTGCCTCTGCTGTGTACTTGAGTCACGAGGCTTGTCCGATATTTTTAATGAATAATATAATCATTGATTTTTAGTAAGAACACACTATTAAAATATTGCGAAATTATCGATTGGACCGGAAAAAAAATAAAAGATAACGATGAAGATATTATGTGCTTTACAATGGTGGCGCCAGTGTTGACGTTTCCGCCGAAAATACCCTTTCTCGGTCATAAACGGGTACAGTTTCCGTCAGAATAAAAAAAAAAACCGTACCCCATTTATTATAACGATTACATCGTCTTTTTCCCCACATACAAGAATTTGTTACAAATCTCGATTACCTACATTATATTATTATTAATATCTGGAAAAAACCCTAAGATAAATTTCGTATAATTTACCAAACATAAAATTTTGAATTCTGTCATACGTTTTAGCGGTGGATTATTTTAATGGAATAATATTATAATATAATGATTTAATAATATGTTCATTGTTCATGCATCATAATTTATAGTTTGTTTAGAGGAAAACAATACATTTCGACACGTCGATATTAGGTATTAATGACAATAATAATAATCAGTATCTTAATATATAAAAATCAGCCATACACCGAGTTTAAGTCCATCTTTAAATGCACACAAAAAGTAGGTACTCAACAGATTTTGATAAGATTTAACTCAATGTGTGTGATTTGGTCCAACTTAGGATATAGGATAGTTTTTATTCCGATAAGTTGACCTTAATTTTTTTTTTTTATCGACTATTTAAGAAAGGATTTTGAGATTTACGATGGAATTTGTTGTGTGTAAGTGGTTGCTATTAGTTACAGCTTACAGATTATAATACTATAATAGTAATAGGAAAAATAAGTATTTGTTGCCATTGGTTACTCTGAAAGATGAGGTAAATGCATGCATTAAATCGTCACGCTAATGGTTACGAATAAAAAAATTATACCTTAAAACAAATATAAGAGTTTAATGTATGTCTATAGATCATATTATAGGTACCCAATAACTACTTTTG